AGGTAAGGGGTGATGTGGGCACAGAAATTGTCTGACAGTCATGACTGAGTTCTCCTGCTTGTGTGGCATGGTGCAGGATCCTGTTGCCAGACATAGGGTCTTTCAGCAGCCACCCACTTGATCCAGAGCAGCACTACCTCCTTAAGGAACTTGATGTGGGCTTCTGTGTTGAGTCTGAGACCTTGTGAGAAGATGAGACATAACATTGCCATCACTAGTGATCACTCCAAACACCTTCATAATCACCATTAGACTCATCCAAATCCTCTATGTTGTCTTCAGATTGACACCCAGACACTCTGAAATATTCATATTGAAGCTCCTGAGTCGAAAGCCAAGCAGTACTGTATGCCACTTTCAAATTTCAGAAAGGGTGAATTGCATCATGGTGCTTTTTCTCTCACAGATGGTGTTCAACTGACTCTACTATACAGTGCAGTTGACAAAATTATGCACAAAATTAAAATTATAAAATGCCGACAATTCACCCATCACACATCGTATATATATATATATATATATATATATATATATATATATAATTTTATCACTTTAAATGTTGTTTTTAATGGTTATCCATATTTGAGTAAATGCTTTATTTATTTATTAAAAAGTATATTAATTTATTTTCTGTGTGACTGAGTTGATCTAAGGCACATTGGATCTACCAACTGTTTCCCCTACAAAGGAGAATGCTGGTTCGATTCCTGCCAGAGAGTGAATATTTATCTTCAATAAGATTTCTCAAATATTCAGGCCGGTAGATGAAAATAAATCAATGCACTGTTTAATAAATAAACAGAGTGTCAATTCAATTATGGGTATCCACTAAAAATAAGGTTTAAAGTAAAGTTTTTCATTTATTTATCTGTCAGATTAATAAATGAAAGATCAATTATTTTTAGAAATTACACACACACACACACACACACACACACACACATATATATATAAATGTTTAGTAACCCTCATTTCAATTTCAAACATTTTCTTGAATTTCATTTGTCGTTAAATATAAAATAAGCTTTAAGAAATTTCCATAACAAAACAATCAAATTTTGTGCAAAAGTAGGCTCAGTTGACATGAAAAAATCTTTCTCAAATTCATCCCTAATTTAAATGTTTCAAGAATCCTATAGGCTAAAAAATAAAAAATACAACATTCACCCATGCATTTCTCAGAAAAATTTGCAACAGCTACCAAGCCCCGTTGAGCCAATTTGGTTGTTAAAAAACTATAAATAGAAATGGCGAATGAATTTTTGTCACAGTTGAGACTCACACGTGAATGATATACACTGGAATTATTGCTTCAGAGAGATGCTGAAAAAACCAACTTCCTTTATGAGAGATTAGAAAAATTTACCCAACAAACTTTTTCACTCAATATCTTTCATAGAAAAATCTTTTGTCTAAAGTTAAATTCAACCTTTTTAATCAAAAGCAGACAACTTTCTCAACATTGAACATTTCCAAAACAGCAAAGAACATTTTCTCTTAAATATACTTTTGCACACACCATTACAAACAAAGAAATTGTAAATTGTGTAGATAAAATTTAATTTGTTGTTTCAAGCATGTATTTTTTGTTATGATTCAATATCGTTACCATTTGGCCATTTCTTATAATTTATGTTTGTGGATATTGCATATTTTATTTGCAGCACAATCTTAAATATTCATGCAGCCTTCCTAAATCCACTACAAATGTATATATGTCATTGTCAACATATATACTGTTACAACATAGTCATCTTTGCCCTGTGTTTAGCAAGGGTTAATGAGAATGGGAGGTGTCAAGTAAACTTAAATAACAGACACACATAAAAGGCACAAAGACTGAAGTAACACATTTTGATTAATCTACTAAAAAAGAAACAGAGATTCCACTACACCTGTCTTTGAGCTTTACATTTTTAGTGTCCTCTCTTCATATAAAAATAGTTGTGCTAAAACACAACACACATGGCTGGAAAATTGCATTCATGTCACTACTTTTTGTTGATCCCAGTGTCCACTTTTATATTTTATATTTACATACACTTTATCTCTGATATTTAGCACTTTTATCCAAAAATATAGCATACCTTAAATATATTATTATTACATTATATATAGACATAATTAAGTTTATTAGATTTAGTCCATAGGATTTTATTTAGTTATTTTTAGAATCGTGATGTGCATGTAAGTAGCTGTTATAGTGGAACACACCTATTCTATAGTTAATAGACTCTCCCACCTATAATAAGTAGGTGTAGTAACAGTAACCAGTCGCTAAGTGAGTTGGTCAGTCAGTCGATGCCGGACGACCGTTAGTCGGATACTGTGTCATACCTATTATATCAAGTTCCTTACATTTTGTACATCGAACCTATTTTAGGACCGACTTAGTACAACTACAAGCCTCCACTGTGAAACTACTACATAACAGTAGCATAGTAAAATTTGTTTTGTATTTACTTTTGGAAATGTGAGCTACTTTTTTAGGAATTTATCTTTTTCTGTAAAGGTGATTCCCACTATTTTTTCTTATTTCCAAAAGTTACATTGTCTTGAGGTGTTGTAAGCTAGAACTGTTTTCGTTATTTTTCCATATTATTTTAGTGCGATTTGTTTCATGCTTTTGAGTTTACATATATGTTTTGAGAGGGTTGTGTTATTTTCATATTTTTTGTAGTTAAATGATCTGCTTGAGAAGTTTTTTTCTTTCAGGGTACCTTCTGTTATTTGCTTAATGCTGTTGATATAAAGTGGCCTATATAGATAGCCTAAAGAAAGAGGAGTAATAGATGGTTTGATGATGACTTAATGCTGATGCTAACAGTTGCCATGTAATGTTAATAGATTGGTCTACTCATTAAAAATCACAGAATTATCAGAAGGCAAAATATTAATAACTTATCATTTTAGAATAGTCTTGTTCATAAGTATAACTGTGTAAAATTGATCTGTGATTTTTAATAGTTATTGGGCTTAATTCTCATTTACAAATTTCAAATTTGAATTATGCTAAAATTATTGATATCTCCATATTTTTTAAATATCTGAATTTTTAAAACACTTTGAGAAATTCTTTGGTGGTGGTTTCAGGAACACCTACAAAAACATCGGGGTATAATAATTATCTATCTTAAATGGGGGATAAATGGATATATACATTTTTTTAATTTATGCAAATTTTTGTTTTTAATTGAAAATGTATATATCCGTTTATTCATTATTAAAAAAATTGTAACAAAAAATGTATGAATTCTTAATTCCAGTAACTTTATAAAAAGTTATGGTCGATTTTATATCGTATCTTTATTATGAACAGGGTGCACTTCTAAAATGTCCTGGGTATGACAATAAACTACATCCAGCAGCAAGGCTTCTGATGGGGAGGTTTTGAAGAACATGCAGCCGCCTTTTAATTGCTATTGTTCCCAGATCCACACTGACCCTGTTAAGATCCCAGCTATGGAAAAATATTTAACCCCACACCCTGTGGTCAAAAAACTATGAATGTATTGAAATAAATTTTTGTTGTAGCCTAAGGAGGGTAACTGAATAGAATAACCAGAGGTTGGTAATGAACGATAATACTTAGGACAAGAACAACACATATAAGATTCACTAGTGGCCCGTAGTAGTAGTAAACTGCTAGAAGTGAGTCAAATGGATTCCACAATGAATCTCCAGCTGCAAGATATCTATTAACTGCTCCACGCGGTCAGATGTGGCACAAGGGTGAATTTAATGTGGGGCATCCGAGTCCATAGGCTCGGCTAAAAATTCCTCTTAGACCCTGTATAAAACGAGGTCGGGTAGCTGTTTCCCCAAGATGAGACTGCTCTTCGAGATAGTCTCGTCTGGGGATCCTATCTGCCCAGAGGCAGAGAGTTTGACCAGCACAGCTGGAGTTGAATCACCAACTGCAGACCAACATACAGTATTTACTACTGTATTTAAGTGGATGGGGACATACCCATTATCGTCCATATGTATGCTACAACAATTTTTATAGTAAAAATACCAGCAACACATTTTTGGAAAAAAAATTACCAGCAATACATTTTTGAAAAAAATTGGTATATATATATATTATTGTTATGGTCCAATATCCTCACACCACAGTTATGGTCCAAGGTTAGAATCAAGGAAGAACAACACGAACACAAGAGTAGAATAACAAAGATATATTACAACAGAAATATAGTACAAGAAGTTGAAGTTGTTAGTAATGATGTCTGGTTTAGAGTGAACTAATATTGTCTTGACTCGTTACACCATTCATTCGGTATTTAGCCACCCCCACGAGGGTTGCATGTGGCACAAGGCCAAGTTTAACGTGGTTTTCCCGAGCCCGTAGGCTCGGCCAAAAATATACCCTTTGAACCCGCCTAGACGGGTTCAGGGCCTGTCTACCTCCCCGGACGAAACCTTGCCCTTTCGGCAAAGCTTCGTCCGGGTTCCTCTCTGCCAAAGCAGAGAGTTCAACAGTCATGACCTGGTGTTCGTTACACCGTTCATTCATTATACCTCTTGAGAGGCGCAGTATTTATAGTGTCAGGAAGAGTCCATTATCGTTATAGGTAAGTTCCCATAACAATTATATTCATACGAACCTATCCTAAAAAAAAGCTTGTCGTCATTAAATAACCCATTGAAGTTGATATACTGTAAAACAAAATAAGCCAGATCAAACCCTTCTAAAATGATAAAAAAAACTCAATATTTTTTTCGATTCATATAAATGGAAATGCTTGAAAATGAATGTTAATCTACAAAAAATATTTCCAAATCAAATTTTCTTTATTTTTTACGAGAGGACCAGTTTACCTAAGTAGGTCCCATTTCTGTCACTTGTTAAGCTTTTCATTCACTTATATATTAATTTTCTATTCCTGAAATCAAATCATACCATTTCTCTTTCTTTTATTTGCAGGCTGTGACTTTTTTACTTAACATGTTGGATCAAGCAAGACTTTCCAAGCGCCCGTTGTTGTGACAGGAGAATGTTACGACGGCTATGTGTGCCACTGTGTGTGTTACTGTCAGTCTTGCATAGTTGCCTGTGCGAGGACCTAACCTATTATGTGCAGGAGGAGAGGAGTCCCGGCTCGCTAGTCGGGGACATTGCGGCCGATACACACCTTCTGGACCATGTCTCACCGCAGGACCGCCGACTGATCACATTCAGTCAACTGCACCAGGGCGTGACCGGAAGTCCCCAATTGTTCAGTGTTTCGAAAAAGACCGGAAAGATTTATACAACGCAAAAATTGGACGCTGAGACACTTTGCAGACATAACACGGAGTGCTTTCAGACCATGAAGGTAGCCGTACGACGAGGAGAGTCGTTTATAAAGATCTTAAAGATTAAGATCATTATCCAAGACGTCAATGATCACCAGCCGGAATTTCCCGAACAGAGAGTCGAAATCGAATTTTCCGAAAGGGATGGAAAAGGGACGAAGATATCGATCCCAAACGCCATCGATAAGGACGTCGGGGCCCTCAATTCACAGATTAAATATCAGATACAGAACATCGACGAGCCGTTTATTCTCTCAGTTTCTCAGAGGGTCGACGGGACGTCAGAACTTTCTATATGTTTAGAAGAGAAGTTAGACCGAGAAGTGAAAGACTCGTACATGATTCAGGTAATTGCCAAAGATGGCGGATCACCACCCAAACAAAGCGTTCTCGACGTCCATATTTCTGTGACGGACGTCAATGACAACTCGCCTCTGTTCTCCCAGAGTGTCTACAACGTTTCGGTTAAAAATAATCACCAAAGAAGCCGACCCGTAGCCATTTTGTCTACAAGAGATTTGGATTCAGGCAGAAACGGAAAAATTACTTACCATTTCAGTTCGAAGACGTCGGACATTGTTAAGAGTCATTTTGAACTCAATGAGGTAACCGGGGAGATTTTCTTAAATAAGAAATTTACCTCGCGACAAGACTTGACTTATAAGCTTTTCGTTGAGGCCACGGATGCTGGCAATCCGCCCCTGACATCAATCGCCATGGTGTTGGTCAATGTGATCAACCAGCAAAACAACCCCCCAATCATCGACGTTAACTTTGTCCGAGCGTCGCAGAAAAATACGGCCACAATCTCTGAAGACATTGAAGTCGGCAGCTTCATCGCCTACGTGATGGTGATGGATCATGATGTTGGTCAGAATGGGGAGGTCACATGTGAACTCCACCACAACAAGTTTCAGCTACAGAACTTGGGCCCCAAAGAATACAAAGTGACCATCAACAGTCCAGTAGATAGAGAGCGGGAGGACCACTACGACGTCACCATCAGTTGCCAGGACAAAGGGTTCCCGCCGTTACACAGCGAAAGCAAATTCTCCATCCAGGTAATGGATATCAATGATGTTCGGCCACAGTTTTCTAAGGACACTTTTAAATTTTGGATCTACGAAAATCAGAAATCCAAATTCCCTGTCGGTTATATAAATGCCACGGATCCTGACCTGGGGCCAGGTGGTCAACTGACCTACACTCTGTTGACGAACAACATAAACTTCATACCTTTCCAGATTTCAGACGATGGCCTGATAACGACAGTCATGTCCTTAGACCATGAGTTCAAGCATATCTATAAGTTCCAGGTGCTGGTAAAGGACAGCGGGAACCCTTCGCTGAATAACACGGCTAACGTCGTCGTCGAAGTTAGAGACGAGAACGACAACGCCCCGTATTTTACTTACCCCAGCGTCAACCCTTTTACTCTGGACTTTACCTATTACCCTCGCCACACCAACAACATCACGGTACTGAGGGCTTCAGACAGTGACAGCCGGGAGAACGCCTTTCTCAAATATGAAATAACTGGGGGTAATGATAACCAGCTGTTTAACATCAATCCATACACTGGTCTTTTGTCGTTTACACGAGTGGTCTCTCCGCAAGATGCTGGGTCCTATGAGCTGGACTTTACAGTTAAAGATAGTGGCATTCCGGTCCATTCCGAAAACACGACAATCTACGTGTTACTCACTGTCAGTAACAAATCATCTGAGATGCTTAATGCCGTGCATATAGAATCCGATGAAAAGATTCACCTTTACTTGCTGATTGTCCTAGTTTCGGTGGCTGTAACGGTATCAGTACCCGTCACTGCAGCCATTTCTATTTGCATAATTCGATGCAATGCGGAAAAGCACGGTCGGCGTTTGGATAGAGGGAACATGTCCGGCGGCCGGTGTGTAGTCGAACAAAGACACTTGGCACGACCTTCTGACTTGCAAACTTCCTGCAGTAACGTGCCTGTTGCTGTGACGGGCGACCCCGACAAGTCAAGGGTCGCCCATCAGGAATTCCTCGCCAAGGGTAGCGGTCAAAAGAGCTCAACACTGGGTATGAAAATCCTCACAGCAACAGAAGTTATACATGAGGTAAGTGAGTTCAAAATATCTTTGTTTCACATTGTGCGGAAAGAAGGGTCGCAGTTTTTAGCAACGGAACAAAAACCAGTTCAAAGGTTAATTTTTTTTTTTTTTTTTTTATGAAAGAGCTTTCCAAAGTGATGTATCATAATAAATAATTACCTGTTCATTGAACAGACAGATATCGTATTTATTCTCAAGTTTGCAAGAATCTATCCAGAAGGAGACTTTTTGGGTGGCGCCTGACACTTCTGAAGAAGATGCATTCGTAATATTCTCAGCCCCACCGTCAGGGTTGCCAGAAATGTAATGATCTTTCTAACTACTAATACTGCACTTCAGACAATCTTGCACAGACCGTACCAATCACAGGTGAACCTGCGTCAAATGAGGCGACCCAACCTGAATCCTACTTCAAGCAGTAAAGCCATGATACATGAATAAATCTACAACCTAATGATGAAAAAAAATCTAAAAAAAAGAATAGAGCATTTTTTCTTTTTAATTTTTTATATGACACTTTTTTTTCTTTTTCACACACATTATTTTCAACAGAAAATTGTTTTGTTTTTTTGCTTTTTACGGTCAAGTTAAATAATCAGAAATTTGATTTAAAAACTGATAAAATTTTAGTAATATTCGTTAAATTTGTGAAAAGTCTCGTTTATTTACATGTGGATTAATGCCCTCGTCTTTGTTGTTATTATCACAACGTTTCGGCCGCTGTGACTTCTTCAGGAATTTTTTAACTGAACCCTTTATTTAATCTACGGATCAGATTTTTCTCATTCCGCAATGAGATATTTCGTTTTGTTCTTATTTAGTACTGCTCAATTATGGTCCACTCTGATTTCACTGATTCTGCACTCTAACTGAACCAGGGATTGAACCCACAATTATTATGTCACTAAATTCATAAGACAACACATAAATCAACTAAGCTATTATCCCAAACAGGAAGTATTGTTTAAGCTTTCAGTTTGAGATAAAGACAAATTGCCATTTCAAAATATCTCAAAAGTAAAATTTAAACAATAAATACGAGTAATTTCTGTCTCAATTTCTGGGATAAAGGGTTATTTTTATTTACACTATTGACATTCTGACTATTGTCCCAATCTTTGTTGTTGTTATCACAACGTTTCGGACGTTGTGCCCTCCGGCCTTCATCAAGTGTATGCCGATCCGGGTAACCTACAGGGTATTTCGAACTGATCCCTTTTATTTAATCTACGGAGGTTGACAGTTCTTGTTCCACTGTCCATGCTTAGGGATATCTTGTCTTGTACTTAATACGAGTATTCATTTAATTTTTTTCAAACGCCATTCAAATATTTAAGACTATAATGTCATGACCTGTGCGAAGAGAATACAGAGGAATACGTCGTACCCAGATCCCTGGATCTGAAGGAATCTAGGAAGACAAAAGAAGCTTACCAAATTCCTGAGTTCCCAGAAAATGGTTTGCGTATCAAGAAGACATTTTTTGTGAGAATTACAATCCGTGGCATAAAACCGTCGAGGATAAAAACAGGACGACTGATGGAAAAGGAAAGGGGGCGCTGAAATTAACTTTGTCTCTCTGATAAAATTCCTCTAACAAGCCCGAATTCTGTTCATTTATAGACACTCATATTCGAGACCCTCGCTAAAAATTCGGGAGATTTGAAATGATCTATCTGTTGTTTACCTATTTAGTTAGCCAGCGTTTCCCATGTCTCGCCTGATTTTCACAAATTTCTCTGGAAAAGAAATAAAGAACCTCATTTGTGATTAGTTTGTTTTTCTTTAAAGAGTCTTTTTACATGCCTTAAGTTTCTATAATTTTTTCGGGAGCCCCTTGGATAGCTAACAATCAAACTGTCATTTTTGCTCGAGGATTAGGGTAAACGTTCATCAGAACGAAAATATAGAATCAGCCAGCCGAGTTCGAATTTCTGTTGCTTCTGTTTACTTGGCACTGATAACTTTGAGAAGGGTATGAAGCTACAGTGAGACAGCAATAAGTAAGTATTCAGTACACCCTATAAAATCCACTTTATTGAATTAATTAGCTACATGTATATTAACCTTTTCAGAAAAGAACCGGAATAAAGGCATGTAATGAGGAAAGAGAGGCTTAGAGAATTTAATACTCACATGACATATTGAAGGCAAGGGTGGCAGAGAAAAGCCCTTGAAAGAATTCTAACTGTATTGCAAGCAGGATTTTTCTTTGCATGACAACAATTTCTTAAAGTACATTAACTGACAGAGTTACCTAACTTGCCCTTCTATGATTTTAGTACAGGAAAGCATGGAAAATAATTTTAGTTGAAAATTTGAATTTTGTCTATATTTCTGAGATGAGGTATTATGTACATTATTTACTTTATTCGGACTCATCTTTGTCGCCATATTTATCACAACGTTTCGGCCGTTGTACGCTCCGGCTTTCTTCAGGTGGTTGGAATTTCAAACTGAGCCCATTATTTTGCTCACTAGGATAGACTGTTCTAGTTCCACATGCCATGTTTGATGGATGTAAGTTATCAGTTATCTCCTGCTAATTTCCCTCTGAAAGTTCTCCACTGCCTTAACCGGGTATTGAACTCACACTCTTTGGGTCCTGTCATAGAAATAAATAAATTCGGTCCAAGCATAGAAATAAATACAATATGGGAACCAGTAATGAGTGCCAGAGAAAAGCAATGATAATAACAAAGTTGCAATATGAGCTCTGGTAAAAACATGCAATGATAACAGCGAAATTGCAATATGAGCACTGGTAAAAATGGTTGCTGAAGACATTAGGTTTATAATACCCAGAAATTCATACCCAAATGTCCTCAAGGACACATGGCACAGTGGATGAAGGCGTTGGTTAGATCCAGTAACAGGACCCAAAGAGTTTGAGTTCAATACCCGGTTAAGGCAGTGGAGAACCTTCAGAGAGAAACTAGCAGGAGATAACTGATAACTGACATCCATCAAACATGGCACGTAGAACTAGAAGTGAGCAAAATAAAGGGTTCAGTTCGAAATTACAACCACCTGAAGAAGGCCGGAGCGTACAACGGCCGAAACGTTCTGATTTTATTATAGAAATAAACTATAAATGATTTTAATATAGTGAGACATTGAAAATGATGAAAAAGGTGTTTGTCAAGTTCAGGAATTAATGCAAGTTTTACTGACAGAATAGAAGTGTTATAGGTACACTGTAAATGTATTGCTAATGATTTTTTTTTTATAAAGAAATGCATTAATTTGGTATTTCTGAGAAAATAGTGCAATACTTCTTCTTTTATATGAATTCATGATGTTGGTGATCATGGCTCTCCACAATTTCCTGTCCTTTGTAGCTCTTACTGAATTTTGTCTTTCTTCTATCCTTCCTACACCTTGTCTTGCTATTCATTTACTGAAGCTAGCTAGCTAGGTTATGCAATGTTTTCTTTTGTACCTCTTGCTTTCAATCTGCACTGTAAGTATCAAATTATCCAAGCCCACTTTCATTATGTACCCTTGAAATTCCAACTATCTTTTTCTTGATGCTAAATATATGTTCCATTTTGTTCCCATTTTCACTAAAACTTTGAACTCACATATTCAGTCCATGGTATTCTTAGTAGAAACACATTTCTGTTGCTTCATGTCTCTTCTTCATCTGTGAGATGATTGTCCAGCATTCACTGCCAAATAAGAGGACTGATATTATGTAATAGTTCAGTACTTTTTTCGTTGTTTCTCACAAAATTTTCTCATTTCTTAATACTTTGCTTAGCTTTTGGAAAGAATCTTTTGCTATCGCAATATTCTTTGGGATTTCAGTGTAGCACATTCTGTCTTCTGTTAAAACACTTCCCAGATATTTAAATTGTTCTAGTTGTTTGATTTTGGTATCACCAATTTGTAATTTGTATGTTGAGCTGTTCCTTTTACTAAAAACCATGCATTCTATCTTCTTGCAATTGATGTTTGATCTTTTATTTTCATTTTCTTTCATTTTTCCTTGTTCTGTAAGAATTCTTGTGGTTTCCATTATATTAAAATATATCAACAACTGTAGAATTTTCTTGGGTTTGACTTCTTTATATAAATATTTTCCTTATTTGTAGTATTGTTTATGCATTGTGTCTTGAAGAACTCTTAAAAAGTTTTGTGTATTTGTTTAAAACAAATCCAAGCATATTTGAAGTATCAGGTGTTTTATAATTTTATATAAATTTTTTCTTTCATTGGCTAAAAATGATTCTTTAATATAAGATGGGAGTAATTCTAGAATTCGACTTCTAATTTTTCACAGATGACTGATGATTTGAATGCTGTCTTTTTTAATTAATTACAGGCATTTTTTAATTCTTTAAAGACAGAAGGCTGCAAGGATTAAATAAATACAGTGTTTCACAGAAAATCTGAGAACAATTCTTTAATATAATGTGTTTCGAAGCAGAGTTTAGATATGGCACAAAATCAAAAGTGTGCTACACCCAGTGATATCATTGATTATTTGATAATTTGGCCTAATCTCATAGATAGCTTGAGCTCCTTATCGAAAGAAGAATCAGCAATATCCTGATCTGGCAGTGATATCATTGATATCATTATTCAGTTGTAATTAGTCTAGCAAGACAGATAGCTAACCATTACACCATGTCGAAGTGCTCTGACAATTCTTTGATATGGGATAATAAATGTAGAATTCAGCTTCTAATTACCCTTGTAGTTTTTGACAATTTTTGTCTCTTGGCCATGACTTCCACCCACTTTTCTGCTGCCCATTTACACATGCTCAAGTAAGTGTCCTGCTGTTTATTTCCTGTCTCTCTTACCTTTGATCTGCCCAGTGAGTGTCAAATTCTCCACACTCTCTTTCCTCATTATGTGTCTAAGAAATTCTTCTGAGTAAGTGTCTTTTTTGTTTCCATTTTCATTAAGATGTCTTCATTGCTTATGTGCTTTGGATATTGTATTTTCAGTATGCTTCTGTATAACCAAATTTCTATTACCTCTAGTTTCCTCTTCACCTGTGTGGAGATAGTCCAGTATTTTTTTCTTTGTTTGGGATGAAATTTTTCTGTTTCTTAATTCTTTGCTTAGCTTTTGGAAGGTGTCTTTTACGAATCCAATGCACTTTAGGAATTCAGTGTTGCATTTTCCATCCTTTATTAAAATACTTTGCAGATATTTAAATATCTAATTGTTTGCTGTTGACATCTCCAATTCATAGTTTGTGTCTTGGTTTTTTTATGGCCTGTGTAAGATGATAAACTACATCCACATCCTGACAATAGAATACATCCAGCAGTGAGGCCTCTGATTGGTTTT